CCAAACGCAACCAATCAAATAATCATTGACTATTTCTTAAATAGTGTTAAAATCTATTCTCATCTTGCTTTTGTGAACCCAATATTGTGCATCGTCACATCTCATGAGCTTAAAGTGTATGATCACATCCCTAATCTGAGACCTTGTGTCCCCCCCACTTTTCAACACAAAGTGATGCCCTTGCCTTGACCTGAAAGTCTTCCAAAACATGAGGACCATCACAAAGATCCCCTCGTACCGTTCTAATGAGATCACACAGTTTGTTTCAATTGCTCACTGCCTCCAGGCTGCAGCCTCACAACTAAATTCACTGCTTCTTCATCCTGATATAATTATTCACAACATTCCTTTACAATAATGTTATAGGCTGTGTTTCCTGTCCAACATAAGAACACATTAACAGTATAGGAGGATATTCAGCTTTGGAAGGGAGAAAGATGAGTAAAGTATTTTGTAAAGGATTTAGAAAGAGCGCACTATCAAATGAGATGAAGTGCTTTAGTACTTTAGTGCAATTGTAAAGTAAGATTTATTGCAGGCCATTTGGGAACTTGGCTAGTAAACAATCTGGGACAAAAAATGTGTGGAGAGGGTCGCCAATTAAATACCTGCTGAAGAACTTTAACTTTCTTTAATTGTTGTTCTATGTATCAAATTCAAGTGAACACAAAAAAACTACAGATTGATCTTTATGTTTCAAATATTTATACATTGAAATAATTTATAGATTAACATTCAGTTATCAGGACTGCTTTTGTTGAAGCATTACACTCGCTGCATTTGTCTGCAGTTTAGCAATTACACACTGTAACACAGAAAAAACTGTCCCTGAAAAACAAGCAAACACCGGCATTAATTGAAAACGGGACACAGATCAACGTCAAATGTGTATGTCAAAATTAGTGAATAAAAATTAAGCACTGAAGAACTTAAAAATCAATGTAATAGAGTAAATGAACAAGTCAATAGTCCACCAAAACAGCAAAGCTAAACTCGGGTGCAGTAATCGCTCAGAGGAGAGGAGAGAGAGCCAGGAGAGGAGCCATGCTGGCCCAACTTAGGGCTTAGGCCTAATTTTGCTTCTAAAGATCCGGTCTGGACAAAATAGGACTCATGTTGACCAAACAATGGAATTCAGAGACTTTTGTGCACACATCGTTACAGATACCTGCCCTATCAACATCCCGGTTCAAGCACTCGGCAGGTGGTCCATGTTCCGAGCTGCGAGCACAAGACTCTGGCAAGATGAGAGGAAGTGGACTCTTTGATTTACATCGATGATGCTTGGTGCACAAACGCAGTCAAGATGAACTCTGTTTCCCAAATGTCAGACTTGTTAATTGTGAAGATGAAACCATATTATCATCTGGTTGCTGCTGTTTACTTTCACCCCAGCATGAAGGAACTACAAATTTAATTTCGTTATGCAGCCTTGTGCTGTATAATGACTAATAAACAACATTGTACCTTGTACCTTGAAACAAGGAAAATGGTGTCCTAAACTAGAGCCAGACCTGGGAAGGAAGCTCTCCTGCAGTAAACTGAGACTAACACTTGAGACACATAAAAACATTAACTTCTCTGTTAAATTCAACAGACCTTGTGACAATGGCTGACAAACATGGAAAATGGGTCCGACAAAAGACGCCACTGGGGACACTCAGGAGATCTGTGATGAGGTGAGCTTCAGGCCACTTTTATTCTTAGGACCTCCACTCAAAACTCTGTTGTCTGTGTTTACATTAGATTTTATTCATACACAGGTGAAGGACGAAGTGGAGAAAAAGACAGGAAAGGAGTATGTGGTATTCAGAGCATTTAAATACAGGGCGTGGATCTACATTCTTCAGCTCATCTGAGGAATCTAGGGAGTGGATCTACATTCCTCAGATCATCTGAGGAATGTAGATCCACTCCCTGTATTTAACTGCCCCATACATCTGAGTCAGATGTATGGGGCAGTACATACATCTGAGTCAGATGTATACAAGTAAAGTCATTATAAAAGAGTTTAGCCTGGAGAGAGCTGAAACCTCTTCCTGTGTACTTGTCTTCTGAGAATGTTGTTAATTTATCTGCACAATAACGGGATTTACCGTACATGTGGAGTTCAAGGAGAAGTGCAGGTGGGGATGTTTGAGATGTTGTGACATTTGAAGGAAAAGAGAAGAACAATATACCTTAAGCCAAGAAAATGTAAGACCAAGTAAAGAAAGATAAAACAATAAAACCTGAAATCATGTACATCCTGTTGTTGGCTACAGTAAATGTTTGTCATCTCAAAGTCCTATAAGAACTGAGGAGTGACTGACTCTCCTCAGTCATTTCTGTGTTATGCTGACGATGGCTCTGGGTTGCAAGCAATAAAGATATACTGAGAATCTGAATATTGTGTCATCTGGTATTTGAGCACCAACTCTCATCTACACTAGACAAGCACTGATTTCTCAGTTTTCATGAGAATGAACACAGAGACAAAGAGACTAAATCCCTTTAGTTTGCACAAACCTTAACGTGGATATAGATTTTTAACTTCACTGTAATGAAATCGTGTGATTCAAAAACCTTTTTCTGATTACACATACCAGGGAACACTTTCTCATTGTTAATCAGTAACTTCTGAAAGGTGTCTTGGAGGAGGAAAACAATGTCACATAGATAAAATAAAGAGGTGGGGAATGTGCTGGATCTAGCCATACCAGCAAATACACAAATACAAGGTGGAATAGCCCTCTGGAATGCTGACATGTTTGTGGATTAAAGAGGCCACAGTGGATTATTTCTGCTGTGGAAAGATTCATCCAACAGCAGTCTGTTGTCAAAAACTGAGATTTTGACTTTCTGTCAAAACATTTGACCCTCTTTTCTTTTAGATCTTTTCTTTTAGATTCCAGAAGATTTTTTAAATCATTATTTTTCTAGGGAAGTATTGCTGAGTGTAGTGATTACACACGTGAAAGTCATCCAGTACAACCACCATCTGATATTCCCTCTTTCATTGCTTTGCAGGTCTTTGAATTAGTACCTGACGATGTAGTATAATGATGTCCTGTCAGATGTTTTTTTTTCTAACACTAATATTTTCTTAGTTAATATCAGAGTGTAACATCTGTCCAGTGACTACAGATGAAAAATAGTCTTTTGGCTAAATCTGGCACATTTTTAGCAATGTTTATTAACCAGCCCTCTCCCTGTTATAATTCAAAGAAATAAAAGTAAAATAATAATAACGAAATAAAAATAATAATAATAAAATAATGGAATAAAAACGGTGCCGTCAGGTCGGACACATTCTACCTGCGTGATCTTACTGTGAACTGAGATCAATGACTGATCTTGCGGCATTTGCAAAGAAAAATGCCGCTAGACCAGGCAATAGTGCGGTTCCAACTTTGTGCAGCCGGAGAAAAGCATCTGCGGCCGCCTGACTCGGGATGGAGCTTGCTCAGTTGTCATGGAGAGTGAAGAAGTTACAGATGCTTTAAAGGAGGAATTATGAAATACCACAAAAAAAATTTACACTTAAAAATAAACTTAAGTCTACTCATAACTGCACTGTAGTGTGTTATAAGTCACATAGCTATTGCTTGCATGCTGCTTAATTCTCAAAATGTCTGCTGTGACAAAAGTTTATTGAACCTGCCACAAGTCTCAGAAAACCTGCAGCAATCTATTCAACCCCGTTTTCTTGAAGGGTCCAACATATTTTTAAGAAATCTTTTTGTCAAGGGAAGTCTGAGCTTATCTCCTTTGCATCAAGAGTCTTGGTCAAGAGCCTCTCAGTGGCGGTAATAAGGGAGGGCACTCGTGTAAGTCGGGTTTATATTGTTGGTATCATGATGAATAATATTTTCAAGGTGCCATAATATTTTACAACAGGCAGTACAGAATGTGTGTAGAATTAACAGTGGAGTGCTGTGAGTGCTTTTTTCCAACCGCACAAGCTTTCAGTTGCAAGAAGTGCAAAAACAACAACAAAGATAAACTTGAAAGTACAGGACAAGTGAGATACATTTAGAGTTTTCTTGCTTGTTTATTCTTAAAACAAGAATAATGTATATTCTTAAAATAATGTGTATGATTTTTTACACCAAACAGTGTTTCATTAAAAGGCACATTTAGTGTTGGTGCCAGACTTGAAGAAACTACAATAAATAAAAAATAAGTCATGAAGTTTCAATTAACAAGGCAATTATTGATTAAAGACATATCTATCAACCTCTTTGATTAACTACTGTTATTATTCAGATGGTTTTTTATTATTATTCAGAACTCCTACATGTCGCACATTTATTATTTAAATGGCATAAAGCAACTAAATGTTTTTCCACAGAGGTTCATATTACAAATCTTGCTGTGAACTTGCTTTGATTTTTATTGTTAGTTATGTTTGTCCAGATTTTTCCAGATTTAGTTATTGAGGTATATCAATAAAATCAAACTAACCTCTGTGGACCTTGTGTCTCTTCTGATTAGTCACCATGATGGCATGTACAGGAGATATAGTGTGTTTACCTACTTAAAGTGCATATAAGATAAACCTTAAACTTTCCATATTAAAGATCTTTTGTTTCTTATGAACTGTGGTTTATATATACGTCATCTTAAACTGGCTACAAAGACACAACAAGAGTGTACACTCAGCTGTGTTCACAAACCTGTACCACCACAGCAAAAACAAAACTTCAGATGTTGCAACTGCACTGACCAAAAAAACACTCTTGCTAACAGTTGAGTAATTCTAACAAAGGATGTGAAGGATGACTCCCTGTATATTGAACCCAACCTCGCAAAATATTTGTACTGTTAAGGTTGTGTTCACGCCCCAGTCTTTGAGGAAGTTTAGACCTGAAAGAACCTGCTACTGTCTGATATTCAACAGGTTCTCATTCTCAAAATGCAGGTACTACCAATCACTGAAATCATAAAAGAGTAACAAAACTAACAACAATCATGGGAGGGTTGTGGTTACACTTATAGCTCCACCCACCATGCAGGTGTCATCAGGGGCGGATACTCTGCATTTGATAAACAGTTGCAACGCTTGAGACAGTTTACTTCTCTGTTTACTTCAACAGACCTTGTGACAATGGCCATGCTTGGAGGATTCAGTGAGACACAGAATGCCACAGGGGACATTCAGAAGATTTGTGATCAGGTGAGCTTCAGTCTACCTTCATTCTTCATGACCTCAACATACAAGACTGTCGTCCGCATTTACATCACATTTTCTTTAATTCATACACAGGTGAAGTCCCAAGCAGAGGGAAAAACAAACAAGAAGTATAAGGAATTCAAAGCAGTTAAATACAGGAGCCAGACTGTGGCTGGACAAAACTATCTCATTAAGGTAATTATTATTGTGATATTATCTATCTGAAATAGAAGTAAGAAAGCCTCAGATGTGTTTAGATAAAAAGGAAACTCGGTATAGAGAAATGATACCAACTCTAAAAAATCAGTGTCTTTTTTTTCTGTGGTATCTGTTTGTGCAATAGCTGCAGGTCAGGGCGTCTTCAGCTGGCACAGTGTGGTGAAAAAGGGTTGCTCAAAGACATTTTTTCACCAAAACAATGAAGACAAACAGAAATCTATTCATTACTGTGAGATTTTGTGCCAGCTTCGTCATGGGAAATATGCACATTTGCTTTCCTGCCAAAAGTTAGATGACAAGAAGAATTATATCACTCTCATGTCTGTCATACCTACATAGCTACAGCCAGAAGACTCTTAGCTTAGCTTTTCATAAAGACTGGGAGCAGGGGGAAAACTGTTGAGTTGTTAAGCAGGTCCGTGATGGAAGAAGATCCTCACTGCTAAACAACACAAGATCAAGATGAATATATGTATTTAGATGTTCGATTTCTCCTCTGCAGGTTCATGTAGGAGGAAGCGGTTACCTTGTTCTGAAAGTCTTCGAAAGCCTTCCATGTAATGGAGGAGCGGTCACACTGCAGGGTGTAAAGGACCATCAAAAAGATGCACCCATCGTACCTTTCTAATGTGATCACACAGCCTGTTTCAACTGCTCACTGCCTCCAGGCTGCAGCCTCATCATCACAAATTTTTAAATCCATTCAACAGTTTTCTCACTCATACTCAACCACTACCAAATCTATTGGTATCTATCTATCTCTATTTTGCATGTTTTCATACTATTGTCAAACTGTCAATTTTACTTACTAAATAAAAATGCATAAACTTCTACTTGGGACACAGAGTCTATTTTCATTCCTTGATGACCTCTATGAAAGACTTATGCCTGGTGAAGAAAAGGGACAGGTGAGGCAGAATGCAGGGCATTTTGTAATTGTGGGGCACGATGTGGCGTTTCCCCATCTCTTCCAGTCACAGAGCGGTTTGCAGCCTATCACAGGATGATGTCACTTTTCCTTACATCTTACCCTCATTCCTAAACCCCACAGAGGAAATCTTTTACTCATGGAGGTGGAAAGTTTATGACCACCAGCCACATGATCAGATGTCTTTCTTGGACTCAATGAAACCTGGTTGACCAGCACTGTTGTATTTCTATAGCTGTAGCAATCCTATGCAAGTATGTGTCGTTTTATGTTGCTTTACTGGAATTCATTTAATTTCATGTGCTCGAAATGTTAAAAAAGCTTGTTGAAGTGCAATGCAGTTTTTATGATTAATCTCAGGGACCTTTACTGTAAGACAACACAACTGATGCCATGAAGAGGTGACCTTATTTTGTTGTAATGGAATCTTTGTTTATGAAAAAGAAACAAATAAAATATATGTTTAAAGACAAGAGTAATACATATTGTAATGCTACCTGTTGTTTGTGTGTTTTGGGTCACTGTGTAAAGAGCGAATGAAGTGTTGCTGTTGGTAGAGAAATTTTGATCCTGAGATATGTATGAAGTGTTTTGCATTAGCTCATTTTGGTGCTGAGCTGAATGTTGGTAAATAAAAATGTCTGAAGAGTTTTGAAAAAGGAAACTTGGTATAGAGAAATGATACCAACTCTTAAAAATCTGTTTCCTTTCTTTCTGTGTTATCTGTTTGTGCAATAGCTGCAGGCCAGGGCGTCTTCAGCTGGCACAGTGTGGTGAAAAAGGGTTGCTCAAAGACAAACAGAAATGTATTCATTACTGTGAGATTTTGTGCCAGCTTTGTCATGGGAAATATGCATATGCTTTCCAGCCAAACGTTAGATGAGAAGAATTATACCACTCTCATGTCTGTCATAACTTCATTGCTACAGCCAGAAGACTCTTAGCTTAGCTTTCCATAAAGACTGGGAGCAGGGGGGAAAACTGTTGAGTCGTTAAGCAGGTCCCTGATAGTAGAAGATCCTCACTGCTCAACAACACTGCTGTCTGGTGTGCAAAAGCACAAAACCAAAGATGACCGCCTCTTTAAAGTGATCACACAACCTGCTTCAACAGTTAAATACGTTCAGGCTGCAGTCACGTATTAAAATACTCTTCTTTATTCTGAAAGGATTCTATACTACAATCCTGCTTTACTACACATACTTTTTGATTTTGAATGCAATTACACAGAGCGATGAAGATATTTTGTGTTGGGAAGGAGTAAGTTGAATGTACTGCTTTGTACAGCATGCTTACATTGGCAAAGCTAACATGCTGTTGTTAAGTAGGTATAATGTTTACCATGTTCACCATCTTAGCTTGGCGTGTTAGCACACTAACATTTGATAATTAGCTTAAAAAGTACAGCTGAGGCTGATGGGTATAACATTCGTTTTGCAGGTATTTGATCATAAATGGGGTTTTCAACGTGATGATGGTGCCAGATGAAAGATTAATGATCATCAAAGCAATTAAACGTAAGGAGGCATGAACATCTGTCCCAAATGTAGTGACAATCCCTCCAGGGCAGGCTACTGGTCAATGACGCTCGAGGAAGTCAGAGGATGACCATTAGGATTTGTTGTCTGGGAACCATGAATGTTGACAGTTGTTGAAACATTTCAGTCAAAGTGGTGGACCACTTGACCAACATTGCCTCCCTGAATTTGCATTGAATCTGTTCCAGAAGACAGAGTGAATTAAACTGCCCCACTCCTCAAGAGACTCACAAATGATTTCAATCACAGACAACGTCACTTGAAAACATTTCATTGTCTTTTTAAAAAACTCTGTACAGTGTTTCTCATTATAGAAGCACACGGAAGACTGTTTTACTGCTGTGGCGATGCAATACGATAATCACAATGGAATACAAGTGTGTCGGAGAAGAGGTCACAGTGGTCTGAATGGTTGCCAGCCTGCAGTCAGGACTCGGGTCCGATCACAGTTTTAGCTCCAGTCTGGATTAGAGCCTTGAGTGAAACAGCTCCTCTCATCAGACGAAGCTTCACTTCACCTTCGGAGGCGTGTAGTGGATTCTGCACCTTTCATGGAAAATCTTAAGTAAAGCAGGAATAAGTAACATGTAAGATAATGACGGCTCATTTATGTTTGTTTACAGGACATTACTGATAACAGAAAGCATACCTTCAGACTTCTGTCATTGACAACTTCCTCAACATTCAGCTCTGATTTCATAAGCTTTAACTGGAGACAAGGAAGAAAAAAAAGCTTTACTAAATGATTTTTTTCACTGACATCAACATTTGTCTTTTACAATATTGTATTTATATCTCCACTTAAAGGGTCAGCCAACCTAATTTGACCGCTATTTAGCCATGCAGATGTACAGACGAGGTTCAGATAATTCATATAAGTTTTGAGATACACATGTCTGAGATTTCTGTCACCACACTAGTACAATCCAGGAGAAAATAATTTCAACAGGACTTGGTGTGTAAGATTGTTGGAGAGCTTCTTGAAAAAAAAACAAAAAAACAAGTTTAATGAGAGAGTGTGTCATTCAGGAAACAATGTCCTGGCTCCTCTGGATGATCCACATACCTCTTGTGGCTGCAAATAGTTTTCATTCAACTATGTTCTACTGCAGATATAGTCCTAATGAAAAGTTCAGCAGGTAACTTGAACATCGTTTCTGTAAATCTATAGTGCTGTAAAGTTTCAAATGTCACTAAATGTTTTTAGCACCACAAGTAAAAATTGATTTGCCCTCATTGGCTGATATGGCAGAAGATGTGCAGGAGTGGATGTGTCAGAACTATGTGACAAAATGTTTTGTGATCCTTATCCTCTCTGGCACCTTTCAGTTATACCTTCAGCTGCAGATGAGCCTACATTGCTGGCTCACATCTTACAGCTTGGTGGTGTTTGGAACCCTCTAGTGTTAGAAACAGGACTTACTTTGGTCTGCTCCTTTCTGAGCTGTTTGATGAGTGCAAGGTTTTCGCTGTCTTTTGCCCTTTCTTCACGAAGTTGTCCCACCACCTCAGATGTTTTGACTATACATGACTTGATAGCTTTGTCTCTGCTCAGATGGGCCTCCATCATCTGTGGAAAGCAAGAGGTTATGACAAGAAAGCAACAGCTACAGTATGACAAGAAGAGTTTAACCATTAACCACAGCCCAAAATGCACAGAGATATGTTACTGTAGTCATTACTGTCACACTCACCGATTCATAGAGCTGTTTGCATGTTTGTGTGGCATCCACTTTGCCTGAGAAGGAGACTGTGGGCACGGTCGTGTTCAGGGCATGGACGATGCGGTCATCTATGTTGCGCATCACCTTCAGCACCTCCTGAGAAAAACACAGTGGAGCAAAAAAGCCGCTTCAGCTCAATGAAAACCATCAAAGCAATGACTTGAAGGTATGTTATGCTGCAATACCTAACATTTTTTTAATTAATCTCTATAAATTGCATACTACACGCCTCCACATATTGGCAGTGGTGGATCAAGTATTCAGATCCTTTATTTTAGTTAAAGGTCTAATACCACACTGTAAAAATTCTCTGTTACAAGTAAAAGTACTGCATTGAAAATGTTACTTAAGTGTAGTAGTAGATAAAAGTAGGTCAGCTAAGGTTGCTGACCAGTCCTCGGTTCTTCTCCTTCTTGACCTATCAGATGCCTTTGACACAGTCAGTTACAGGATTCTGCTATCTGCACTCTTAGCAATGGGCATCTCTGGCAAAGCACAATCCTACCTCAATTGTCCTCCTCTCACTGCCTCTCCACAGTGGTGCCCCACCGCTAGTGGCTAGGGCCCCTTCTCTTCTCAATTTACACCACCTCACTGGGGCCGATCATTTGCTCGACTTCTCTTACCACTGCTACGCAGATGATACACAACTCTACCCATCATTCTGGCCAGAAGACCCCACCGTCTTGGCGCGATTCACAGACCATCTCTCGGGCATATTTGCATGGATGAAGGCTTGCCAGCTTCAACTAAACCTCTCTAAGACTGCTCTTGGTCATTTCAGCCAAGCAATCTATCCACCATAACTACAAATTGACCACTCCAACCAGGATGGTGAGAAACTTGGGAGTCATGATTGATGACCAGTTGTCCTTTTCAGACCATGTTGCTGCTGTCTCTTAGTCGTGGCGCTTTGCTCTATACAACATAAGAGAAATCAGGCCCTACCTTACTCAGTACACCACCCAGCTTCCAGTTCAGGCCAATATTATCTCTCGCCTCAACTGCTGCAATGCCCTCCTAGTGGGTTTTCCAGCTTGAGTGGTGAATCCCCTACAAATCGTTCAGAACGCAGCAGTGCATCTGGTTTTTGATCAACTCAAAAGAACTCATGCCACTCCTTTATTCAGCGACCTCCACTCGCTACCCATGGCCTCCCGAATCAAATTCAAGTCACTAATCCACGCATATAGAGTGACTACTGGGTCTGTACCCATCTACCTAAACTCCATAATACAAGCTTACATGCTCCTTCAACGAACGCCTCCTGGCTCTGACCATCCCTACACACAAAGCAATCTCAGTCCCGGCTGTTCTCAACTGTGACACCACAATGGTGGAACAAGCTCCCACGTACATACCATAAGAGCAGGGGCGTCCCTCTCTAACTTCAAGAAGCTCTTGAAAACTCATCTCTTCCAAAAACACTTTCTCTTATAACACCTCTAACATGCACTTCCTGTGCTCTTCTACAATTATCTTGTATTGATTGCACTATTTCGTTAACTCCTACTTCTTGCCTAGGTATTTTCTAGGGGTGTGGAAAATAATAGATTTTTTAGATGCATCGCGATGCGGTCTTGGACGATTATGAATCGATTCACAAATGTTAATAATCGATAATCTAGAGGTTAATTGATAACCTTATGTTGATTGAACGAAAAAGGCGGAACTCGGAAATGCGGACAACGGAGACGTGTGGTTCTCCCTGTTTGGCACAGACAGACAGCTGTTGATTGAGTGACTGCCACAACTAAACTTTACACATGATCAATGAAATCAATGCGCAACTAATGTTAATGATTTTAACCAGCACATGGTGCAGCACGGTAGCGCTTAGCTAGCATCCTCTGCTCCTTCTTCAAAGGACAGCTACGTGAGAGGCGGCAGTGACGGTGAAAGCAGCGGACCAGAGGAAAAGATGAGTGCTACGCTTCAGTCTGGCAGTAAATGTACAGTGTAGGTCACAGTGTGTCCGTCAATTAAAGTCTTTCTCTTGTTTTCCAGCTGCTGGATAAGTTAAGGCAGTTAGCATTAGCTAACATCTCTTCAGACTACGGTCTGGAAGCTGAGCAGGATGCGTTTTGGCTGCTAGTTCAAGTTTGTTTGTTGTCATTCATCCACATATCGAGTACACAATGAACCAAATGCCGTTTCTCAAGGCCCATGGTGCTCAATACAAGATAACAATAATCAACAAGACAAGAAACAAACATGTAACTACACGACGAGACAAAAAAGGAACAGATATATTAAGGTGGAGTGAACATGGTTTAAGTGCGTAGTTCAACCCCCATCTGACTCAATACTAATAACAGCAGCATCAGAAATAAATATAGCAGCAGCAGAGGTCAGTAATAACGCTGTAATAATGTAATAATGCTATGCAATGTTAGCTACATTTATATGAAGTAACATTAAATATCTACATTTCATTACTACCTACTTGTTTGGATTGTTGTTAAATACTTTGCTTTAAAAGTACCAAGTAGTCACACAGTGAGAAAAATACACCTATTCTTTTTACAATCGCATCTTAGCACTCATAATCATAATGAGGTGCCTAGAAAGTCCCTCCCTTGAGGTGATGCATCGAGGAATTGAATCGAATCGTTGACCTGACAATCGTAATCGAACCGTGAGACCAGTGAAGATGCAGACCCCTAGTATTTACTCCACTGATGCCGTATGTGTTATTAGCTCTTACGAGTATTTATTGCTGCTGTTACTAGTATGTAGCCACTTTTAAATCTCTTACTGTATTGATGCTTGTAGGTTGTTCCTCAAAATGTAAGTCGCTTTGGATAAAAGCATCTGTCAAATGAGTAAATGTAAAATGTAATGTAAATAACAGGACTTGTGAGTAGTTGAACTGGGATTTTTTGGAAGCCTGATCCTCTTTGCATCTAGAAATAAAAGTAGACCTGTTGAGTTTTTTAAGCAGGATTGATGCATCTATAGTGTCGCTGCCTATAAATGCAGAACATGTTAGGTATCACATGCTGGTCGGGTTTGTTCATGTGTCTTCAGTCTGGCTCCTTGAACTCTTGCAGAGCACACCGTGTGAGCAGCAGAGATCCGCAGGGTCACTCATTCAGCGGCTCACAAAGGAAATAAACAACACAACACGTGAACTTCCACAGCGTAATGACTCGTGCCGCGGCCACTCCGTGACAAGCTAGCACAGATCGATTAACCCTTCGTTATAATTACCTGAAACATTGAAAAGTCCTCACAGTTTAAAGTTCCACCGGGCGACGCCATAGTGGACTGTGGGGTCCTCTCTAGACACGACGCTGGGGCCTGACGGGTTCAGACTGTGCCTGAATTAAAACCACCATGTCAAGCTAAATATAAAAGCACATTATATTATATTTCCCACATTCATAATATTTAACTCCAGTCAGTCATCTTTGTTGAGCATAAACAAACCATAACCCCACGTAAACTATAACCCCATCCGTGGGGAGGGGGAGGTAAACATTATTAGAAAGGAGAATGTGGTATTTTGCTTTTTATAAAAGTCAAAGAAAAGAAGTACTTTACAGTAGATATTATTACTTCTACTGGCAAAATTCCACAGTCAAACAAAAAGGCTGTGAAAACGGTCAACATATGGTCTTTTAAAATTTTCATTTAATATAGACTATCACTGGCAAAGTTTTTATTATTTCTGTCTGTCTTATATATCTGTTCTGTATACCTCTCTATGCCCCATGTAAACTTTATTCCTCTTTTAACAATAAAGATTTAAGGAGAAGAAAACATTTAACTAATTAACATTATTACAAGGCTGCCTGAAAAGAATCATAGACTGTATTGGATCAGGCATACGGCACAGGCTCCTATGCTTATGTGAAGGGGTCCTATTGGATACTTGGTGAAAGCGCAGTTAGTTGACTTTCAACAGCTGACTGCGGAGCAGGCTTTAATGACCTGATAGACACGTTGTACCTTATTTACTTTGCCAAAAAACAACAACATGAATTTTGTCAGATCTCGCCTTTCCATCGGCAACATTATAGGTTCGTATTGTTAACTTGAATTTCTGTGACGCTCTGTCGATTGATAACTTGCTGGCACCCTCTCCTCTTCTCCCACTTTGTATTCGTAACTTTGTCTTTAAATTAGCAGCTGCAGCATTAATCTGACATAACGGTAGGCTACTACCTTTGATATTACCATAATTTTAAATGTTCTTTACGTGGCTATGAAGGGTGCGTAACATAACGTGAGGTTCTGTGTTTGTTCACTTGCAGTCATCCCATAAAAAAGCCTCACTAAAATACTTTGGCCTGGTGAACGTGTTTGTTTTATTATTATACGATATCTCTAGGCTTTGTTAACCTGACACACCTGCCGTCTCATTATAAAAGTGGGCATCACGCTGGCTCTTCATAAGTCTTGAACGCTTGTTCGTTTGTGTAACATTGGTTGCTGTGAGATTGTGGCATGATTTAAGTTTGTTGTGATTAGAGCTGAAATGATTGGGACAGAAAAATTTATCAGCACAATATTTCGCAGTTGGGAGCATTTCTTCTTTGATTTGTCATGTTTGTTTGGGTTTTTGAACTGTTGGTTGGACAAAACATGCAACTTCAGGAAGTTAGACTGGGCTTTAGGACATTGAGATGTGTAGCAGGGATTTGTAGTTGATGTGTAGCAGGGACGTGTAAAACGATTATTGTGCTGCATGCCGTTTCGCAATGATGTTCTTCTTTAGTTCAGCTGGAGCCAATATGACAGGGGCAACTGCTATAACTTGCAAGTCATCATAATTAGGTTACACTGGGTAAATAACAACAGCGTTATGTAGTTGTAGTTCTGTTACCTGCTCTGCTCCACTCCCTGAGTACACACCCTTTTTATACATGGTCACTGTGGTACACACAGGCACGGAGCCCCCTCAACAGCACATTAGACCCCCAAAGCAAAACACTGGTTGCTGTCATCCTTTTTTAATGTTGGATGAAGATTGCTTATTTCATGGGCTATTTGGGGGGTAATGCAGTCATAACAATAAAAAAATGAAGTATTTAGTTTTGAAAGATCCTAATTTGGACATTTTATGCTTTTGTTGTTGCAGCCCAAGTTGTGATTCCTCCTGGTATACATGTACTTGCTTGCTTTATATCTCAACAGGTCAGAGATGCAGACAGGTCACTGAAACATGGAGTCACAGAGGGATGTGCAGTAAACCACAGCAGGCCAAAGCAGAGCCTCTGCCTGCAGCCCCGGCACAAGGTAGAGTACAGTTCAACCACAGAAATGTACCGCTCATTTGCTCTTCTCACCTCTAATCCAGAATACTGTTGTATGTCTGATCGACTTGGAAATTACAAAAAATAGTAACTTTCAAAAGGAAAATTGACAGCTTACACCAATCTGGTGTGAAATTAATAATCTAAACTGATGATTTGTTTTTCTTTAAGTGAAGTATTTGTGTTTTCTTTAGTCCTAAAGGGAGGAGACACAGGAAGTGGGGTCACAGTCAGGGGGTGATGGAGCTAATGACTGGGGCTTGTGAAACTGAACTTCTCTGCGTTCACTGGCCCAAACTGTTTGTTTTTCTTCTTGATGTGTGCTTTCTTCTTTTATGCAGCCCCTCGTGCGGGGTTCAAAATGCCAGGCTACAGACCCTCAGAGCTGGACAAGAAGTTCCTGGTCTGGTCGGGACGCTTTAAGACAGCAGACCAGATACCGGAGTTTGTGTCGTAAGTAGCCTCTTCCTGTTTACGCCAGACCTCCCAGCACACGTGCATCTGATTGGTTCTCTACTTGATTTAGTTAAGATACATCACAGGAACAGAGCTGACTAAGTGGATGAGCGGTAGTGCTGCTGCGGGTAGCTGATGTACCAAGACGGCTGCAGTTAAAACAAGGCGTCTTATTTGTGGATGGGGCCAATTACCGTGGTCCCTGACATCAGGGTGGAGATCATTAATCTGCTGCAGTGATAAAAGTCCTGATTGTCACGCATACAAACTGCAGACCTCCCACCTCCTGTACTCACAAAGAACCGAGGCTCAGTATAAAGAAACTGTGATACCTCGAGAATGAATCTCAGATGACTGAATAGGAGACTGAGAGAGGCACAAATATGTGGTCATGTTCCTTTATGCTTTAAAAGGAACATGCACATCCCTTTTAAGTGTGCTGAGCTTAAAAACAGCACAAAATATCAACAAAGAGCCTGCACATCAATATGTTCCACATTGTTTCTGATGACCTCGTCTCTACCAAGTGTGTTAGAATATTGTTGTTTTTTTAAAGCATCTCGGTATCTGGCTACACTGACTTTGTTTGTGCAACAGGTTTGAGATGATTGATGCTGCCAGAAACAAAGTCCGAGTGAAAGCCTGTTATGTGATGATAGGGGCCACGGTCGGGGCCTGTCTGTTCATGATCTTCTTGGGCAAACGGGTGAGTGACAGTGGATGACTGCATGTTGTTTGCATGCAGTGTTTTATAACCAGGAGGGAAATCTTTAGTTGAATGGCAGAGTTTTTTTGTCTCTGCATTTTTGCTTGTAGCCGTGTCTCAGTTGTCTTATGAATAAACTATTTTGTTCTACACACAAAAAAAATCTAAATGTTAGTTTTTTGACGTTTTCCAGGCTAAATATAAATATCATCTGGAGCAGCAGACATTTTTCAGACCTGTAATTTGTCTCATTTTGTCGCAGGCTGTAGGCAGGCACGAGTCCCTGACGGGTCAAAACTTGGAGAAGAAAGCTAAATGGAGGGAGGAACTACAGAAAGAGAAAGATGCTGCTGTTGCCCTGGCTGAGAAGGCTCAGTGAATGAAGTCAACTAGTTCCTAAACAACCATGTCAATTTCCCCAGATATTGGACCAGCAGTGTCCCCCTTCTCAACAATATCTCACAACTTCCACTCCCATACTAGAAAGCAACTGAACCAGAGCAAACCCTTAGAGTCCTGTTTTTATATTTGCCTGTGGCAACAGTCTTTTGCATTTATCCGTCTTGTGAAGACAGTTTCAAAATACCTACCATGTTCTTCGGAGAACAAGTGGATTAGGCACAATCCTTTTGCACAATAGTCAGCCCTGATACCAATGTAATTTGACTGGTGTGTTTATGGCTGATGTGACATGTTTGTATATAGTGAGCAAAATCATATAATCATCAATAAAGTAATGCTTCTAGAGAATCCGTCTGATTTAATGATCAGATTTCATATAAACTGCAAGTCTGACGCCAAAGCTCTAAGTCAAATCATTTATAGATCAAGCAATTACTTGCAGATTCATTGATAATGAAAATAAGCATTAGTTGCTGCTTTACACCGAAGTACTCACTTCTTTAGTCGTACGGCATTCAGTTAAAGGAAATACTTCCCAAAAAGATTCACCCTGAACACTTAACTACAATGAAACTGATTCACTTACACTGTGATTCATGAAACAGCTTTTATGCAAATGAAGTAACAGGGGACAGCTGCACAAACTCAATACAACAAACAGTAATTAACATGTAGAGCTGGTCATCTCCTGCAGAGATTTTGACAAAAGTAAGCAATGTAAAAGGACAAACATTCAGTTTTTCTAACTAAGGTGGTCACCAGTATATTCAAGTTTTAATCTTGATTTTTGTTGAAATGATCTGGAAGGATTCCTGTAGAAGAAGGATTATGGCACCATCAGCAACATGACAGATGCGAACCCCAACTAAAAAACATTATGCTTTAAAAAAAAAAAAGACCAACTTTAGACCCAATAGCTGATTTATGTGTCGATGATTTGGCATGATCAAATTGGAAAATACTACCTGAACATGTGTTGGAAACACACACAAATTTTTTTTAAGACTGCTCACAGCCAGATTTTCCAAAAGACTCTGATTTACTTTGTCACAATAAACTACTTCTAGCTTTGCTGAGGCAGCGTGATCTACCGGCTGTAATTAGTGTGCTAACAGTTTCAGTCCACAACCTGCTTGAGTCCCTTTGTGGGAAAAGGGTAAACAGCGAAGTACATTGTCATCATTGTCATACCAGAAGGGGACCGAGGATTCAGACCACATCTCTTTATACCTCGCTTCCTGAGGAGGCAAGAGCCGTGCCATCAACCAATTAAATAGTTAATGTAAAAACTACGGTATTTTCTCAAAGAGGAGGCGTCAGTCCTGAACTAAAGTGCTGCAAATGAAATGAAATTATGGTAAGATAATAAAAATTCCCGCTGGTCGGCTGCTGGACAGATTCCAGGGTTAAATAGTCTGTTTTGTCTTGTCCAAGTCAGTCCAATTGTCTCAGTGCGAAGGAAGACTCCAATTCCCATGGCTCCATGGGGTTATTCACATCACACCAGAGGCGGGAGGCAGTCTAAACTCTTCAGCATGGAGCCTGTGCAGGCGGAAAGTCCCGTTACTGGATAAAGGAATGCATGATATGAGGATCCAGGAGGGAACACAAGCAGCCAAGTTTGTCACTGACAAGCTCCGCCCCTCTGCGACACAGTCAAGTTCCTAATTTGTCCATGTGTGGTCACTTATCCAATGGCCGGACAGAGGAGGTGAGGGAATGCAACCTCCATTTTTGAGTCGATTAAGTGCCTTTCGTAGAGGTCAGTTGAGTCCTTGGGTTGGGACTGGCCACATGGTCCCGATGTGGGCAGTTCAGTCCATAGACCACAGTCAAACATGTGGTCAGCGTCTCATGGTCAGTCCAGTGTTAAGGTTTGATCATTCTTCTCTGTGTGTGTGTGTGTGTGTGTGTGTGTGTGTGTGTGTGTGTGTGTGTGTGTGGAGGAGGGGGATTTAAAAAAAAAAAAAAAATCACGTCCATGTTTGTCTGTCTTGCGAGTCATTAATGCTTCAACCAGACAAGCAGTGCAGTCCTACAAACTCCTGCCTAATCAGAGATAGGGATCGCTAATCCCGCGGAAACACGGAGAGGTGCTTATTATTTGGGATGAGTGGAGGAGGAAATCCAAAAAGTAAGACGGGGGGGCTGGTGTTACAGGGACAATCTTCTAGTAGGAGACGCTGGGGCCTGACAGGTAGGTGGGGTTCAGGCGCAGAGGTGAGCTCAGCGCAAGACAGATGATGAGTGAAACCTTCACAAACTGGCTGACAAGACTGCAGAACTCGACCCACGTTGGACATACGCGCACACACACGTGCTCCCGTAATGTTAACATCTTTCATAATCATGGTAATGATTAAAATCGATCTCTCTGACCATGAGAAGGGAAGGAGGAGGAAGAGGGGAGCCGAGGCTTGTCGTCGCCCTTGATCATGGCAGCGGGCGGAGTGAGAGAAATGAGCAAAGGTGAGGATGAAGGTGGAGCACGGAGGGAGGGAGAGTTTAGCATTATAGCTGGAAGCCTTCCATCGGGGCTTCGCACTGCTGGAAGAGGAACTGCTGCTGCTGCAGATCGACGGCTGGAGCCAGAGATGGGTCCTCGTCTTCAGTGTTGAAGTAGCGCTCGATCAGGTCGAAGGCTTTCTGGTAGATTTCCTGGTTCTCGTGGCCCTGCAGGAACTCCAGTTTGTCCAGACCTGAGAAGAAAGGAGGATGGAAGTGCTGGAATGATTAGTCTATTGACAGATAATTAACTGCCGGCAATTAATGGTTTAATGGTCATTTATCAAGTTAAACGGTCTAAACATCTGTTTCCAGCGTCTCAAATGAGGATTTGCTGTTTTCACTGATGTTCTATCACTGTGAATTGAACATCTTTGGATTTGGGGCCAGTGATGTCACCTCTTCGAAACTGTAATGGGCTTTTAAAAAAAAAGATTTTCTGACATTTTCTAGAATTAAGGATTAATGTGTTAATTGAAAATATAATTGTCACATAAATTAATATGAAAATAATTGTTAGTTGAGGAGAACATGCCGTTCAGAAACACTGACTAGGCCCATCATCTTATAAACATTTTTGCTAGATTTTCACCTACAAAAATATGTGTCCATTCTAATAAGATCTACTTAGTCAACAATGTCATAAAGTTGTAAAACCATGTGTCTCCTAAATGCTGCATTTGCATTATTTGCCATTTACAATTGTTTAAATGTAAGCGGCATGACTGTAATCATTTTAATTGTGTCTTTATGTCCACCTACCATAGGCCTCCTCAATGAGTGCACAGTAAGGGTTGATGCCTCCTCCCCTCTTGGCCTCCAGTTCTCCCAGTCGCAGGATGTTCTCCAGGCCATTTAGAGCCACCTGGACTATTTTGGAGTCCATAATTGTGAGCAGGTCACACAGAGGTTTTATACAGCCGAGGTCCACCAGGTGCCTGCAGGTGGCAGTACGTACACAGATACAGAAGAGAACTTTTATTTCTGGTTCACAGCAAATAATTGTCTTTGGCCTAACAATGGATACACAGTAGGAGCAGTAGAACCACCTATCTGAAAATAAAACTACAACACAGTAAATATTTCAGCTGAAGGAAGGTCTCTCTATTGCCTTGACTGATTAAGAGTAATAGTATAGTAATTGTATACTGAAAAAAAATCGTAGACCCATTTAGTTATGTGAACTTACTTCTTCTTTTCAACTCAAAATAGCTCTGGCAAGTTTTGGATTTCGAAAAAGGCGAGATGTGAGGATTGGAGCTAGAGGAAAAAAAAGCCTAGGTACTGCATCTTTTGAGAAAAACAAAGACATAATCAACCAGTTATTAGGGTTTAGCGTGTACTCGGTTAAAACGAGTATCTGGTACAGATACTTTTTATGAGTATCATCAGAGTAAAATGTGTCAATATCTGTTTTGTTATAAACTATAAATATAACTTCTTTTTTTTTTATCAAAAACTTTGCGCTGAAGCTCAATTCTGGGGCTGTTCTGTAAATAGTTTTCTAATACAGCAAGTTCTGATACAAATTTCAGGCTTAAATAACTTCCAGTTAATCCCACCCATTCTGAGTACAGATACAGAAAATTTAATTTGTTTAACAGATACAGATAGAGATAGTGGTGTTCTTGCTCACCCCTGCTAATTATACACTGCAGATAAGTCATATATTCAAATTCAAACCAAAATATAGACACTTCTGTGGTAAACAAGACTAGTGGCACCAGTGGAAAGGGTTCCTACAACGGTCTTAAGGCCCTTTCAGAAAGGAGGTGACAACTGCTGCTATTTTGATCTTTGACCGCGGCGTAATAGTACAGTGGTGCTGTTGTGTTAGGGTCTATTCTAACTATGAGTTAAAATAACCTAACTTGTAAAAAGTTCATTTAACTAAAAAAAACAACATTGACATAACTAGAACACTGTAGTTACAGTGAGGAAAATAAGTATTTGAACACCCTGCTATTTTGCAAGTTCTCCCACTTAGAAATCATGGAGGTGTCTGAAATTGTCATCGTAGGTGCATGTCCACTGTGAGAGACAGAATCTAAAGAAATAAATCCAGAAATCACAATGTATGATTTTTTTACTATTTATTTGTATGATACAGCTGCAAATAAGTATTTGAACACCTGAGAAAATCAATGTTAATATTTGGCACAGTAGCCTTTGTTTGCAATTACAGAGGTCAAACGTTTCCTGTAGTTTTTCACCAGGTTTGCACACACTGCAGGAGGGATTTTGGCCCACTCCTCCACACAGATCTTCTCTAGATCAGTCAGGTTTCTGGGCTGTCGCTGAGAAACACGGAGTTTGAGCTCCCTCCAAAGATTCTCTATTGGGTTTAGGTCTAGTTAAAAAATCATACATTGTGAATTCTGGATTTTTTTTTTTAGATTATGTCTCTCACAGTGGACATGCACCTACGATGACAATTTCAGACCCCTCCATGATTTCTAAGTGGGAGAACTTGCAAAATAGCAGGGTGTTCAAATACTTATTTTCCTCACTGTATATCAACTTTATAAAGTTGAATTTATGAGTTGAAACCAAGGCAATCTTCAAGTTGAGTTAACTTGAAATGTCTTAAATTTAGTTATCTGAAATTAAAAATGTGAGTTGAAAGGGTGTAGAATTGTATGTTTGACAAGAGAAAGCAAGTTTCCTTGAATGGACAATGTAATATACACTCACCTAAAGGATTATTAGGAACACCGTACTAATACTGTGTTTGACCCCCTTTCGCCTTCAGAACTGCCTTAATTCTACGTGGCATTGATTCAACAAGGTGCTGAAAGCATTCTTTAGAAATGTTGGCCCATATTGATAGGATAGCATCTTGC